TAAGGAGGGAGGGTGGGCGTTATACTCTTAGATTTAGGATTCATTATTCTTATTATTAAATCTATAATCTAAAATCTAAGATATTAAATTCGCAGGCAAACTTTTCGTGTTGATCACAACCAAAAAAGAGTATACTTTGCAAGTGTTTTGATGATCGTTTGACCGGGAGTCTATGGGGCACATTATTTTAAAAAATATAAAAAAAAATTGTACCACTATATTTCAGAGAGTACGACAGATTACCGAATAGGAAAAGGCTATTGTCTGTTTTTTACTCTACGATAATAAATATCACGTGATATGGTGAATTTCACCTCCAGTGAGCGTTAAAATGATCCAAAAATAAATATATATTACAAAATTTAAATAATGGTCGCTGTCATGATTCTAAAATCTCATTATTTCCATACTTATATCTTAATTTCATTTAAAAGATTTTAGTTTCCACAGAAGTTTAATTTTTAACAATTGACTTTAGCAAACTCAAAAACCTGTGAGTAATTTAGTAAATTTAGTGATCATAATGTATTTAAATACCTTTAAATATTTGCCCGATATACTGATTCTATTTCTTATTATCTCTTTGCTGCTGAGGTTAAAACATAACATAAATTTTAGGCTATAAAAAACCGTTTCCTCAGGGAATGATGAGATTTACACAAAATTTTCAAGTCATACAACTTAAGATACAGTATATGTAAATTTTGCGATTTGTTACAATTTTTTTGCAAAAGAGAAACAACTATACCTTATGTCTAGTAATAATTATAGCTAACATGGAATTACAATATTTATTTATTAAATTTATTATAAATACAATATCTATAATAGATTTATTCCTTAATCGTTATACTGTATGAAAGTCATCACTGAATTCTACGATAAATCAAATGGATTTTATAATATTGCTTGATTAATTTTAGGATTGTTAACAGTTCAATAAAAAACAAGTAATGTCTCAAAATTCTTAATGATTTTTTTAATCGGTTATTATATTCAGATAATATTTTATTTAAATAAATTTATAAATATTACATTGATTGTAAATTCATAATACAGTCACATTTTTGATATTGAATCTAATATATTAAAATTATTGAACATGACTCAATTTTAACTTTTTACAAATATCATTGCACCTATGATTTGCCAAGAACAATTCGTTAATTCCCTTTTTGCCAATATTTGTTCCTCCAAATCTCAAAGGATTAATACAATGTATTGCTGGATCAGTTAATAAGAATTCGTCAGTAACTACTTCAATTCCTTGAAATGTTAATAATTTGTCAGTTATTTCAATTCCTTGAAGATCACAAACCACTAAATATCCTTTAGTGTATTCATATGTGAAGTGAGCAAATGCTTCAAGAGTATGACGAAGTTTTGAAATTACACCAGTATTTGAATTGAATCGTTTATACTCTGCATTAAGTTTTGGTTCTATAGTATAATATCGATTACAAACACGTAAAAGTTTCACCTCGAGAAAATTTACTTTAGAAATATTTTTTTTTTCTGCAATTAAATTAAATTTCGTAGAAAGAAAATGTGCAACCGTAGAAACTTCTACTGCCTCAAGATATCTTTCAAAAGATTTATTTCGCCCAACTTTAAGGTATTCTTTCATTACTATTTCTTTTTCTGGTTTACTCTTGATATCACGAGCAAAGTAAGCATATTTCTCAGCACCCGCAGAAAACGGTTGTGAAGCAATCTTGAAGGTGAAACTTTTATAAGAGAGGTTCGATTTGTTGAAGTATCCTGGATTTTTGAGATCATCCAGAGTTTTAGGAATACAATAATACCACAACAGATTTCCTTTTTGTAATTTAAGATTATCCCAATTGGGTTCATTTGGATTCATATTGAGTTTTCTTTGTTGTAAAGCATATATATCTTTAGAGTTGCTTCCGATCACACTGACTAGTGTAACGGAAGTAGTGATTGATGATGAAACAAATTTAATAAATTTTTCAAATAATTTAATTGAATCATCTTCCATAAGATCAAATACAGGGATTTCGCCAATTATACCACTGAATATTTTAAGCATTTTATCAGTTTCATTTGTAATTTTCCCAAAAAAATAAAGAATACTTTTTGATTTCATCTTTTCTAGTACATTTTCTGCGGTTAGACCATATGGATCACCATTTGGATAATTATCTGTCAAATTTGTAAAATTCCCACCATGTGGTGGATTATCACCAATATGAAGAAGAATCCGAGTGTCATTTTTCCAATTCATTTTTGTTATTGCTGCATTAAGACCTCCAAGAACATCCTCTGGAATATCATTATCTGGTGAACTAGACGGTGTTACATTAAGCATATATTGTACAAATTGGTCATATTGGTCGTTAAAATCGAAAATTTGTAGACGCGAAGATCCATCATTATGATCTCGATAGCCACAAAAACCAACCCAAAGTTCAATGCTTGGATTTGTATGTTTAATATAATTCGTCACTTTAAAGATACAGTCTTTAGCAGCAGCAATATGATACCTCATAGAATCAGTGCAATCTAATACAAAGCAAAGATCAACTTTCATTGAAAGTTTGATGTTATTGAGTATTTCGGAAATAGCCATTTCTCGTAAAAATGTAGTTTTAGTCCTTAATTCATTTTCTTTGTTATTGGAAATTAAATTAATTGACTCATCGGCATAGCGTTTTAGACGTTCTTCATTGAAGTTCAATCTATTTAATTCATTTATAAGCGAGGGAGGAATAGAAGAGGTAGATGAAGTATCAGAACTATAAGTATTTTCGTTTTGAATTATCATTTTAAATCTTGAAAGAAATTAAAAAAAAAAATTATTTTAAATAAAGTCAAAAAAAATGTTGATTTTATTAAGAATTAATGCAGATAAACAATAAAATAGATCTGCAAACCAGTATTAGAGCGTTAACCTATTAAAAATCAGTTAAGTTAATTAATTGGTTAATATTATAAATTCTTTGTTTATTGGTATAACGTTTAAATATCATAAGGTGCAAATAGATTAAAATGAAACTCTCATATAATAAGGTTTTGAATTACCGAATTAATATAAATAATGATCTGAACATTTATGGTATATCATATACCGAAATCCATTCATTCGGATGATCCTCTTTATATCCGAATCCAGATAACGAATAATTTTCTGGATGCATCATCCGTAATGGATAAATCTGGATTAGTCCATCGGATAATCCGTTATCTGTTGTTATACAATAGTATATAGCAAACAATACTCATTTACAGGTTAAAAAAAGTAAAAAAACTCAAAATGCAGGGTCACGTGATATTAACTATCGCAAATGATTGGCAATCATGTGATATATAACCACTCATTTAATGACCCCTAACAATGAAGAGAGTAAAGATAAATTAGGAGGAGGATATTCCTTTGGCATAACTAAGGCTAGGGTATAATCAATTATAGCATAATCTCTTATACTGTATATAGAATCGAACGCGATTTCAATAATATTAATCCGATCCGTGAGTCAACTACAAAAGATGCAAAAATTATGTCAATCAATAGTAACCATAAATAATACTCTTTATGTGAAACACATTCAACACTTAACATATTTTAATACATAATATTTATCCCAAAGTTTCAAATTGTTTGTTTTTTTACAATAATTTTTTCACATAATTTTTTACTTTTATTTGACACCAGATCCTTTGTGGATCATATAATCCATTAAATCCACGTAAATAAGTCAAAATAAAGAATCAAATTTAGTAATTTTATTATAATTGTTGATAATAAATATTGGAAAAAAAATATAAATTACTAAAAATTAAAATATGTTAAATAAATTATATTATTGAGTTATATTAAAATATTTTAAAAAAAAATCGAGTAAAATAAAATAACGATAAATCTATAACTTTAAATTACCTAAATTAATTTTTCAATCTATTAATTTACGTATGTTATGCAATATCTAACACAAAAAGTAATTATTAGAAAATTTTCTAAAAAAAAAAAATGGCAGAAATAACAAAATAAATAAACTCATATACTCATAATTATACAATAGTATCTCTCTTATCACCACTATTTGATCTCATAAAATTATTTTTCATTTCTATTATTTAAATAATCCATCAATTTTTTAGAGAAATATGCAATAAACAATTTAACAATTCCAAATGTCTAGCACATCACTTCTAAATAGGTTAAAAAGCAACTTCTATTATGAAAACTTCATCGGGATTCCTATTTTCTTCAGTATCATTTTATGGATAGATCATTATTTGTGATTTTACTGATTTATTGTGTATCTTAAAAAATGTTGTGATTTAAACTTTTATAAGTATATAGTTTGAAATAAAACATACCCTTTAAATAAGTCTATTTATCCAAATATATATTAATTTGATCGGACACATGATCGGCATGAAATTTGAAAACCACAATAATAATAATCAAATACGGATAACGGATAAATTCCGTGATGGATTATCTACGGCTATCCAGATCGCATCTCTAATACCATTATAAAACCCATAACTGATGTAACTTATCATATTATAATTATATCACTTTGTGTCATTATTGCTCTTCCTGAACTCATAAAAATCGATCGTCCTCTAGTATATCTGATATTATCGTTAACAAGTATTAGTTATTTATTATGCTATTCATAAACAAATGAGACATTTGTAATTATATGTTATATTCTTATAAATATTCAATGAAGAAACGCGCATATCTACTAAAAAAAATAATAAAAAAAAGGGGTATCATTCGAATACGAAGAAAAGAGATTAGAAAAAATTGTTATTGACTGCGTACAAAATAATATAATTTCCTTTTATACAAAAAAATTAGTTAAATATTGATGTAATTTAATTGATATTTATACATCTGATATTAAAATTTTATACGTGAATTTGATTTGCAATTGTCATATGCTTTAGATTGCTTGTCAAGATTTTCAAGAAAGAAAAACAATTCCCATTTACAAAAAGAAATAAATATATTTATCAGTAATTTGATTGTCGGTATAATATACCTGTATAATTGTCGTTGTCGGTGAGTTGAATGAGATCTTATAAAATTTATGTTGGATATATAGAGTTACAGACATTTCATAGACTCTATAAAAAATATAACTACAAAATTTATAATCACATGTTAAATTATTAGATTTGTGCATTATAAATACACAATCGTAATAAATAAAATAAAATAAAATAAAATTTAATCATGGTATGTTAAAAAATCTAGGAATGAATTTCCTTTTTAGCTAGAATTTTTTTTTTTAAAAAAAAAAATAATAATTTTGCATAGTATTTTGTTATTTTATTGGTAATAATTCGCATGATCTCTATTACGTTCGCTAATTTTAAAAAAATTTTATTGATTAAGAAAATTAAAAAATTTATTCGATGACACACAACGAAAGTGACGCTAAATTGCAATTTTATTCTATTGAATCAATGTTTTAATTCATGTTCGAATTTATGCAACGACCTAGTGATTAAGAGACAATTTCTTAGAATTACTTTTAGACTTGTTATTAGAGTTCGGAATAACCCTTTTGCTAGTCTTGTGGGCAATAGCTTGATTTATATTTTGTAAATTTTGAAGCTGATCGTCTATATTTCCTTTATCCTCCAAATATTTCTTTTGTTCAACAAATTCAATTGTATTCTTAACAATCATCTGTGAAATAACAAAAATTATTAGATCTAAGCGATTGTAAACTACAAGTGCTTATACAATAGTACATACCTTCGCTTTCTATGCCAACACAATTATAGGAAAAAAGCACTCTGGTAGCTAATTGTATTTCTCTTAGAATTTCATAAAGTTACACTCCCGCATCCTTTAACAGGTTAAGTCAATAAGTCAATATAGTTTCTTTTTAACTTTTTAAATTATACTTTCCGAAATGGTGTGACTGAAAATTAAAAGAAAAAAAAGTAATAATATTTTATTAAGTTTCATAAAGCAAGGTTATTAAATTGTATGACTGGTCAGAACAAAAGTTAATTGTCATAAAAAATTATCCTGGTAAAAATAAATTTATTAAATCGAGTGATTTTGGCAAGTCACGTCTATAATATTATAAACTAATTAATTAACAAATTCTATCTATCTTATAAGTCACGAATATTTGGCTAAATAATTTGTTAATAAATTTTTCAAGTCTCCAAATCTGAAACTTACAAAAATAAGGATACTATATCTATTAATCTATAAAGAATAAAGAAAAACTATTTAGTGTATCCGATTTTTTACCATTTGATCCGTGCGTTTTCTCAGGACCAGATGGCAGATTATCCATTGTTTTACTTTTTTATGGTACGATTACAGAACCGAATTCAATATGGAATATTTTCGTCAATTTTTCAACTCAATATTACCGCAATAGTTGCTTGCAACTAAATATGAAATAATATGAAATGCTGTAAAAAAGACTAACTCTTGACTATAAAATTCGACTTATAGTTAAGGACTGAATAAATTTGCTTTAATTCTACTTTATCTGATGATACACTTTTTTAAGATTTTTGATTAAGTAAAAACTGATCAACTAATATATCCCAAAACGTAAGATGGAGATATATTATATTTCTTATTGAAATTTTCCGTTATAGAAAATTAAGATTAAAGATAGTAATTGAAATTTTTTATTTTAACAGAATATCAGAATAAGTTTCGTATTGGTTTACGTAATACTCTACACTCTACAATGATAAATATGCTACAAATCAAAAATGTATAAGGATCTTTACCTTGTATTTTTCTGAAAAGTACATGAACAAGTTTCGACAGTATCGTAATGGTTTATGTAATACTCTAACCAATATGCAGTGCATAAAGATAGCCACAAATAATGGGGGCATGATTTGTTGATCCTGAAATACATCATCACATGAATTTGTGTCAAAATGATCGGCAATTAGGAATGCGGCTCAACTCACTATTATATGGATAAAATTAGACTTTTTAATCAGAACGGGTCATTCTTTCCAAATTTGTAAAATAATAATGATATGATCCACATTCTGCATGCATAAAATTCTACAATAAGAAATTAATGATTTTAAGGGAGTTTCAACATCTTTTTCTTCTCATCATATCAGTTTGCATTTAGATTCGATCATGAATTTTAATAAACTTTGTTTAAAGAAAAAAAAAAGAAAAGAAATGGCTGATAGTAATGATGAAGGTAAAAAGCATGTAGCATGAACATGAATTCAGTTTAACACAAATTAGAATTATCCTAATAAATTTACAATATAATAATACTAGTTTTAAATACTATTAATGATTCTAAAGGTAAATATAAATAATTTAATAATTTTAAACTATTAAAGTATTTATAAATAAAAAAATGGTTTTGAATAATTTGACTTGAAAATGTAAATTAATTCATTATAACCAACTATTATATTCATTTAAATTGCTTATAGCTTGTAAGTTATAAGTTATTTAATTCAATCATTTTAACTAATAACTTATTAAAAACATATTTAATAACTAATAATACTATTAGTTTGTAAGTTATATTTATTGCGCATTAAATGTTACTTACTGTAATTCAAATTAACTAAATTCTTTATTTAAAAATTATTTGATCATATACCTATCTAAGTTGGTAAGTTATTAGTTATTAATTCTTATATTTTAATAATTCAAACTAACTAACCTCTTGATTTAAATAATTAGATTGTAAGTTTATAGGTTATTAAATTCATGTATTTATATAATTTTTATACTTAACTGACTATTTTACCTAAAATTATTTAATAACTAAATAATTAAATAACGCTATAGGGTGTAAGTTATTATATTTTATATAAATCTATACGATTCTGCTATTAAATTCTTTATTTCTAAAATTTTTATTTAAAAAAAAAATATTTATAATATGTAATATAACAGTTGGTAAGTTATTCAAATTCTGTTATATTTTATGTGATACTTAAACTAACTAAATTATTCATTTAAAAAATTATTTAATAATATGTAATATACTAGATGGTAAGTTATTCAATTATATTATATTTTTGTGTGATATTTAGGGCTCACCAATTTAAAAGTTCGTTTAACATCATAAATTTAAGATGGGGTGGAGGAGAAATAATCAACAGTAAAAATCGAACATTTATAATAAAAATTTGGGAAAAGTTGAAAGAAACTGAGATTTTGTCATATGGCAATGTCTTAGTGTCATGTGACGCTATGTTTTTTACTGTTTATTATTTCATGATTTTTGCCAAAATTGGGGATCATGTTAAACGAACTTTTAAATTGGTGATCCCTTACTTATAATTTAAACTAACTAAATTCTTTATCTAAAAAAAATATTTAATAATATGTAATATACTAGTTAGTAAGTTATTCAATTCTATCATATTTTATGTGACATGACTGACATCTTATAATTAAACTAACTAAATTCTTATTTAAAAAATATTTTAGGGAGTAAGCTATAAGTTATTCAATTCTACTACATTTATGTGATATTTACTTATTATACTTATTATCTTATTATTTAAATTGATTAAATTCCTTACTTATATTATACTAGATAGTAAGTTATTCAATACTATTATATTTTTTGTGATATTTACTTATAATTTAAACTAACTAAATTCTTTATTTAATAAATATTTAATAATATGTTATATAGTTAGTAAGTTATTAAGTTATTCGATTCTATTATATTTATGTAATATTTACTTATAATTTAAACTAACTAAATTCTTATTTCAAAAAATATTTAGATTGTAAGCTATAAGTTATTCAACTATACTATATATTTATATAATATACTAAATTCTTTATTTAAAAAAATATTTAGATTGTAAGCTATAAGTTATTCAATTATATTATATTTTATGATGATATTTACTTATAATTTAAATTAACCAAATTCTTTATTTAAAAACATGCCATTTAATAATATATAATATAGACGGTAAGTTATTCGATTCTATTATATTTATGTAACATTTACTTATAATTTAAATTAACTAAATTCTTTACTTAAAAAAAAAATTTTAGGGAGTAAGTTATAAGTTATTCAATTATATTATTTTTATGTGATATTTACTCATAAATTAAACTAACCAAATTCTTTATTTAAAAAAATATTTTAGGGAGTAAGTTATAAGTTATTCAATTCTATTATATATCTTATGGAATATTTACTTTATAATTTAAACTAACTAAATTCTTTATTTAAAAAATATGTAATATAGATGGTAAATTATTCAATTTTATTATATTTTATGTGATATTATTTACTTATAATTTAATTTAAACTAACCAACTTCTTTATTTAAACATATTTAGATTGTAAGTTACAAGTTATTCAACTCTATTATTATATTATATGTAATATTTACTTATAATTTAAATTAACTAAATTCTTTATTTAAAAAAATATTTTAGGGAGTAAGTTATAAGTTATTCAGTATCATTATATTTTATGTGTTATTATTTACTTATAATTTAAATTAATTAAATTCTTTTTTTTAAAAAAAAATATTTAATAATATGTAATATAGATAGTGAGTTATTTAATTTCATTATATTTTATATATGTGATATTAACTTATAATTTAAACTAACTAAATTCTTTTATTCAAAAAAATATTTAGATTGTAAGCCATAAGTTATTCAATTCTATTACATTTTATGTGATATTTATTACTTATAATTAAACTAACTAAATTCTTTATTTAAAAAATATTTAGATTGTAAGCTATAAGTTATTTGATTCCATTATATTTTACAATAATATTTACGTATAATTTAAAATAACAATCCTTTTATTTAAAAATATATTTAATAATATGTAATGTAGTTAGTAAGTGATCCAATTTTATTATATTTTATGTTATATTTACTTAAATTTATAATAACTAAATTCTTTATTTTAAAAAATATTTTAGAGAGTGAGTTGTAGTTATTCAATTATATTGTATTTTATGTGATATTATTTACCTACAATTTAAACTAACTAATTTCTTTATTTAAAAAAATATTTAGATTGTAAGTTATAAGTTATTCAATTTTATTATATTTCTTGCTTATATAGCTTAAACTAACCAAATTCTTTATTTAAAAAAATATTTAATAATATGTAATATAGATAGTAAGTTATTCAATTCTATTATATTTTATATGATAGTTAATTTAAACTAGCTAAATTTTTATTTAAAAAATATTTAATAATATGTAATAGATGGTAAGCTATTCAATTCTATTATCATATTTTATGTAATATTTGCTTGTAAAATAAATTATTTAAATTAATTTAAAAAAATATTAATAAAATGTAATAATATAGATGGTAAGTTGTTCAATTTATGTGATATTTACTTATAATTTGAACTAATTAAATTCTTTATTTAAAAAAATATTTAACAATATGTAATATACTAGATGGTAAGTTATTCAATTCTATTATGTTTTAAGTGATATTTACTTATAATTTTAAATTAACCAAATTCTTTATTTAAAAAAATGTTTTAGGAAGTAAGTTATAACTGATAAGTTATTCAATTCCATTATATTTTATGTGATATTTTCTTATAATTTAAACTAACTAAATTCTTTATTTAAAAAATATATTAGGAAGTAAGTTATAAGTATTTAATTCTCTTATATTTTATATGACATTTACTTATAATTAAATTTTTTATTCAAAAAAAATATTAATAATATGTAATATAGTTAGTAAGTTATACAATTCTACTATATTTTGTGATATTTACTTATAATTTAAACTAACTAAATTCTTTATTTTAAAAAATATTTTAGAGAGTAAGTTATATAAGTTATTCAATTATAATAATTATATTATATTATATGTGATAATATTACTTATAATTTAAACTAACTAAATACTTTATCTAAAAAAATATTTAGATTGTAAGTTTCAATTCTTTTATATTTTATGTAATATTTACTTATAATTTAAACAAACTAAATTCTTTATTTAAAAAAAATATTTAATAATATGTAATATAGATAGTAAGTTATTCAATTCTACTATATTTTTATATGATATTCACTTATAATTTAAACAAACTAAATTCTTTATTTAAAAAAATATTTAATAATACATAATATAGATAGTAAGTTATTTGATTTTTATTATATTTTAAGTGACATTAACCTACAGTACAATAATTAATAATTAACTAACTAAATTCTTTGTTTAAAAAAAAATATTTAATAATATGTAATAGATGGTAAGTTATTCAATTCAATTATATTTTGAGTGATATTTACTTATAATTTAAACTAACTGAATTCTTTAATTAAATAAAATATTCTAGGGAGTAAGTTATAAGTTATTCAGTCAATTCTATTATATTTTAAGTAATATTTACTTATAATTTAAACTTTCTAAATTCTTTATTTAAAAAATATTTTAGGGAGTAAGTTATAAATTATTCAGTTCTATTATATTTTAAGTGATATTACTTATAATTTAAACTAACTAAATTCTTATTAAAAAAAAATATTTTAGGAAGTAATTTATAAGCTATTCAATTCCTATTATATTTCAATATTTACTGACAATTTGATCTAATAAATTCTTTATTTAAAAAAATATTTAATAATATATAATTTAGTTAGTAAGTTATTCAATTCTTTTATATTTTATGTAATATTTACTTATACTTTAAACTAACTAAATTTTTTATTTAAAAAAATATTTACTAGGGAGTAAGTTATAATTTGTTTAATTCTATTATATTTTATATGATATTTACCTATTAATAAATCTATTATTTAACTAACTAAATTCTTTTTTAAAAAAAATTTTTTTAGGGAGTAAGTTATAAATTATTCAATTCTATTAAGTTTTATGTACTTATAATTTAAACTAACTAAATTCTTTATTTAAAAAAAAATATTTTAGGAAGTAAGTTACAAGTTATTCGATTTTATTATGTTTTAAACTAATCAAATTCTTATTTTAAAAAAAAAATATTTAATAATACTTATGTAATGTAGATGGTAAGTTATTCAATATTATTATATTCTATGTAATATTCATTATAATAGTAATTACAATTTAATTAAACTAACTTAATTTTACTAAATATTAAATTTGTATTTAAATTTTAGTGTAAGTATTAAAATTTTGATTTTGAATTTAATATGAACTGAACTTTGTTATAAATCAATTATTATTTGAAATTTTAGAAATAGTGGAAATGAATTACTAGATCAATTTATACTTAAAGAAACTCAAGAATTGATGTGGATTCCTTATGATAAATTTAAAAATATTAAATATCTTGATAAAGGGGGATTTGGTACTATATATGAAGCTATTTGGTCTGATAAAAATATGAAAGTAGTTCTCAAATGTCTCAACAATTTAAATGACTCTGAAAATTTCAATGAATTTTTAGATGAAGTATGACTAATATTATTTCTTTGCCTTTTTAACTTTAATTAGTATAATTTATTTACTTAATTTTTATTTAATTTGTAGTGGAAAAATCATTATAAATGTATAGGATCAAAAATAATTGTTCATTTATATGGATTTACAAAAAATCCAAAAACTTCAAATTATACAGTAGTAATGGATTATGCAGATAAAGGTAATTTAAGAAAATGTTTAACAAATATAATTACAAATGATTGGAGATCAAAGTTGCATAAATTATTTATGATTATTGCTGGACTTCACAAAATGCATGAACAAAATCTTATTCATTGTGATTTTCATGATGGTAATATTTTGATTAATAAGGATGAAATTTGGATTAGTGATTTAGGATTAAGTAGACCTGTAAAATCTTTTTTTAAAGATGATGAAATTTATGGTGTTATGCCATTTATAGCACCTGAAATTTTAAGAGGTAAACCTTATACTCCAGCTAGTGATATATATAGTTTTTCTATGATTATGTGGGAATTTACATCTGGGATTTCACCATTTAATGATAGAGCATATGATGTTCAACTTAGTATAAGTATTTGTGAAGGTGAACGTCCTGAAATTATTGAAAATACTCCACAATGCTATATAGATTTAATGAAAAAATGTTGGGATGGAGATCTATTAAAAAGACCATCTACATCAGAAGTTTTAAATGTAATTAAAAGATGGATTTATCTTCCTTCTGAAATGGAAATTAAAAATATTAGTGAAGAGTTAAAAAGTAACATTATGGAATTTATCAATGCGCCAATTGGATATATTAAACCTACTATGACTGAATCTCATCCACAAGCATATCATACAAGTCGTTTGTTTAATTTTACCAGTAAAAAATTAAATGAAATTTTAGAAAGTGAATGTTCAGATTTTACAAATGAAAAATCAAATAAAATTCTAAAAAGTGAAAGTTTGGATGATTGTATAGTATAAAGTCATTAGGTATGTACCAAAAAGAGAAATACTTTCATACAATTAATTTCATATTAATTAATTTTATTCCTTAAATTAGGATATAAATTAATGCAAATGAAAGTAAATTTTTTTTTTTAAAGATTTACAGAAATTGTTTCTTTTTAATTTTTATTTAAAATACCGTGGTTAAAGTAGTAAAATGTTTTACAAATTCCTTTTTCTTTTTTTTTTTTATTTAGAATTATTTAAACACTAAGACGAGGTAGTAAAATGGGTTACAAATTTCCTAGTTTGTAATTTAATAATCCTTTTTATTTAAACACTAGGGTTAGAGTAGTAAAATGATTTTACAGGTTTCTTAGTTTGTAATTTAAATAATTCTTTTTTTTTTTATAACTTACTATCTAAATTATTAAATAAATTATCAGTGTGACATTATTCACAAATATTGTTGAAACTGTGACTAAAAAATTTTCATATGGTGCAGGAAGTCTATACTCGACAATGATTCAAAAATGTTTCAATTTTCTGGTTCGTCACGTGAGTAACAATTAGCCAATAAAAACTCACTATTTGGTAAGAAAAGCAAAAATAATCAAACATTATTATTATTTAGTATAATAAAGTCTCATTTTGTTAAAGTAAACCTCAAGAAGTTAACTTTTTTTTGAAACGATATTCAAATAAATTAGCTCGAGCCCAGCTTGGCTCAAGTCAAAATTTTTATAACTCGGCTCAGCTCACTTGATTTGAGCCAATTATCATGGCTTCAAACCGAGCCATAAAAATTTGTGGCCTGGCTCAGATTGGCTCTGCATAATTTTCTGAGCTGAGCTCGAGCCATATCCTGATTCGGCTCAAGCCGGCTCATGCGGAGCTTTACATAAATGTAGTTTTGGCTTATTATTTTAAATATGAGTTTATAAAAAAGTTATAGCGAAGAGAAAGTGGAAATCGGAAATCGTTTTTTTGGCTTACTATCCGAAATCATATGTAACCGGCATGTATAACTGGCAAATAAATCCGGCTACCAATTTTTCAGGTGGCGATGTCAGGACTGTCAGGTGGCGATGCTAGGGTCGTTTATAAATGACTAGTTCATTTTTTAACCAATTTTATTAACACAGGAAGTTACGTATATATTATTAATAATATTCATCATCATCAGGAAATTTTTTTATATGTAAAACATATGCAATATTTTTGCATGAAAAAACTGATTTGCACACCCTAAAAATGCACATTAATTGCATATTTAATATATATAATGTATTTTCCACAATATATTGTAGAAAAATTTGTTAATTTTTATATAAATTTGTACAAAGAATTATACATATAATATTGTTAATTATATTGCATAAATTTCGAGAAATATAACTATTTGTGAAATATTGAATACCCTGAAAATTTTGTGATGATTTTTCAAATAATGCTTATCCATTTATTTAAAATAATTATTGTGCTGCTCTGTTATTTCTAAAATAAAATGATAAATCTTATAAGAAATGTGATTTATTAAATTGCTTTATTTTTTGTAATTTGATACAAGTACTTAGTTTCAATATTTACTTCACTTAATAATAAACATAGTAATATTTTTATAATAAAGCCAATATAAATTTTTAAATCAGTCCTGATCTCCTGATTTAGAAACACAAAGATGGGCTTATTATTAGCATGGGCTGTGTTTATCATACAAATTTTACAAACAAATATGAAAAGAAAATGTGGCCATCTCTGATGCTGATGTGGCTTTTAATGTGACTTTGCAATTTATTATGACACAGCCCTCTGTAATAATAAGGCATTTTACATATAAATACAACTTGTTTATTTGCTGTTTCATAATTTATCTCCCTTCCCTTTACCATATTCTTTCCTTCTGCATTTAAAGAATGAAAAAGTCTCCCTTATCATTTGGCTAAGATGATTTGGAAAAATCAAAGACCATATCATGCTTAAAAATTTTTTTTTGATTCCCATCCTAAAATTCCTGATAGCTTTATAAAAATTATATATAACAATTAGAACTTCTTGATAGAAAAATTTAAATTTACAAATTTATAAAACTGAATTTACAGTTTACGTGAATGTTTACCCTTATACTTTTTAAATAATCTTAAAAATTAAAAGAGGTGATGCTAAATATTAGAAAATGGAAAACTGCTATAAAGTCCAAAATACATGATTTCTTACTAATGAATATACGCCTGAATGCTAATGAGGAAGAAATTGCATTTTGGGTTAGCATTATTTTGTGACTAAAAGAATATAAGTAATACCGAGCATTCTTTTTAAGATTGAATAAAATCATTCGATATTCAATTTACCATTCTTACAAAATCAATTCAAAAGATCCTTCTTTTTTAGACCATAATTCCTTTTCTTCCTTTATAAACTCCATTCAATATCCTATTTATGAATCCAGTTTATCTAATCTAATGTCTTCCCTATAAAAAATTTTTATCCGAATATTTCCATTATTTCTCCGTGTCTTCCGTAAAAATTCCGTGAAAATGATACATTCACGGATATCCGTGTTAGCGAGATGAAAATTTCCATGATTTAAGGCTATAAATTCCATGAAAATGATACATTCACGGAAAAAACATGGAAAGATAAAACACGGATCAGATTTTTTACAGTGCTTTAAAAACGTAAGACATATAAGATTTAAAGTGCAATGATAAATCTATTAGTTATTTATGATTATAATGTTTCAGATTACAAAATTATTTTGATATTTACATTTATTTTTTATTTTATTTACAACAACTGTTGATTACAAGAAAGGATATTACAAAACCATATATAATCCAAAAAAAAATTTTCTATAGTTTTAAACATTTATGAACAATTATAAATTCCGTCTCGTCTGGGTAGAGAGTAATAGTTACAACGTGATGGTGTCTTGAAGGAATCTGGTATTATTTAATAATATTGTATTCTTGAAAAATTTCGTGGAAAAAAAGCAATCATACTTTGAAATATCTATAAGTACGTTATATAGATAAGCTGTATTCAACTTGGAGGTATTTACATTGCTGATATTGGTTATTTGTCATCACTAGTTACAGATACTGACAATCCATCATTAGTAACATGGTATTAAAAGAGCATTCAACCAACCAAGTTCCTCACATTAAATGTAACAAACAAAAATGTGTGAAATCATAAAAGAAAAATAATAGTTTTATTAGCACGACTGGCTGGTAATCAATTTGGAGTTATAGGTATTCAGACTGCTGGTATTTTCAAATTCAATTGATAAAGCAAAGGGAGCATTACTATTTGTGGATTTAAGCAATAAGGCTTCGGAAGAATTACCATTAAATTGCTACAGTTTCACTGAAAAATTAAATATTCCCATTTGGTGGAGTGAAGGGACATCTTAAACACGTATTAGATATTAAGAGTTAAAAATACTTCACATTTAATAATTCCAAAATAGGAAATTTTGTTTAATATTACGTTATTTTATTGACACATTAGATTAGTATTAGATATATGTAATAGGAAAAGAACTAATACTTCCAAATTGTTTAGTTAGAATTAAAATATATTGAAGACAATTTTTTAAATGTCATTTATTTTATTATAAGTACTCCAGTAGTGATAGACAAAAGATGAGCGAGATTAATCTTATCATATTTATCTTGTAGGTGAAAATATTCCATTATGACCCCTTCATCTGTTTTTATTGAATCATAATCGAAACTAGCACCTATATTAATAATAATTTTTTTCGCATTAAAAAATTATGCAATAGTATTACATAAAATAAAGTAATAATTTTAATACTTATCCATGGTTAAATTCCACATAGTAGCGCATAATCCGTGACTTGTAGATCATATAGGAATAGAGAAATCTGTTTTTTATAATAACCGTAGTGAATGAAGGGTTTTAAACATTCCAGGTTCAGACGCTTCATCTAACCCTTTAAATTTTATTTAACAAAGGATCATAATAGATGAAGGCATTTTGAAAGATAGATTTATTTTGGAAAATGAATAAATGATTTTATTTTGATTTGAACTCACTATCAAATTGCCATCTTATTATATAAGAAACTTGTATTGATCACCAAATGAAAATAATAAATCATCATTGTAATTGTAACTATAGCAAATGTTAATAGAGTTAAAAGTTACTTGTCAAAAATTTAGATAATTAAAATAATAAATATATGAAATATTATTATTAGGTTGTAAACACTTCAAAATTTGGAAAATTTTAATAAAAAGAAATTTTATTTTTATTTTAAAAGTAAAAAATGTAATTTACTTTAAAAATAAAAATAAAAATAAATTTTATATTTTCTCAAAACTGCCTAAAGAACAACAGTCCTTTATTACATGTAAAATTTACAAGAAAAATGAGGTTTACTTATCAGTTATGTTAAAAGTTGAATAATATGTTGTTTAAGTCAGTATTATAGTTAATATTGGAATAAATCCTAAAAATTAAAATTTATTAAAATTATATGTAAAAATCAAACCATATCATTTTCTTTAAAAACTATCTAAGTAACAATCTTTTTGAACTAAAAGAAAAGGAGAAAGGACGTTAATAACATTTTCAGACAAAAATAAAGATGTCAAAATAATAAAAAACTGAGAAACACCTTTCTACTTGTGATTTCAAAGTCTATACTGAAGTCCAGAGTATTCCCAGAAAAAAAAAAGAAAGAGAAAGAACGTTAACAACGTTTTCAAACAAAAAGAAGACGTGAAAATAATCAAGAAAACTGAGCAACTCACCTTACTTACAATTGCGAAGTCCTAAAAAAAGTGAGCGTTAAAACCTTCTCAAATAGAAAAAAACGCGAAAATAATTAAAAAACGAGAAACTTACCTCTCTCACTTGCGATTTCTGTTCCTTAAAAGTGAAAGAAAAAAAAAATAATAAATTTTTTTTTGCTTCGTGAGCCGCGAAAATAATTGTGATACAAAAAAAATTTAGATTATCAGTTACAAAAAAAAGTGATACATAATCAAAAAGGAAATAGTAAGGTGACGTAAGCGGATGGAAGGAAGGAAAATTCCATGGTTAACAAAATCATTAAGTGCTCTACAATAGAAAGTCCTTCGCTATGCTCCGGATAATGAATTATATAATAAAGGAATTGGTCAGGACTTAAAAAACGAATTATTGAATATTAAGGGGCCTGATCTAGGAAGATTAAAGTTAGAGAATTTTTTTTTCAAAATTAAGATTTTTATTGATTATACTTTTTGATATGACTAGATTAATTTTAAATTTCAACCAAAAAATTCCCTTATCTCGATTTTTCTAGATCAGACCCTAAAATATTTACGAAAAATTTATAGTTTGTTAACAAGTAATAAAAAGAGTAAAATAGTTCAAATTCTATTTTATACGTAATTATTATGGAATTTTAAGAAAGATCGATCGTAAGAAAGCATTTAATTTTTTATTGATGCATCAAGAAAAAAAAATCATATTTTAGTACAACTTTTTGTTGGTTACTGTTATTATAATGGATACGGAACTAAAAAAATCAAGAATTAGCTTTGAACATTAAAGTGGCCAATAAAAATTTACCAAGTGGACAATTAGAAGTTGGTGGTTGTTAAAGAGATTTAAAAAGTCTCTTTATTGGAATGAAAAAGATACAAATAATGGAATTTAATATCAACATGTAACTTTGGTGTTTATTATGACAACGAAAAAGATTATAATGAAGCTTTTGAATTGTATAAGCAATTGGCTGAGGGAGAGGAATGATGTTGTTAGGATATTGTTGTTTTCATGGTACTGGAACTAAAATTGATAATACGAACATGGGGATGGAATTACAAAAGATATAGATAAGGCAAGTTACTGGTATGAAAAATCTGACGAACAAGGATTTGGATGAGAAATTAAAAATACTTTAAAAAATAGTTATAAAAAATTTTTTTTGCTCATATTGTAAAACTTTAAATCATTTAATTTATTTACAATATTTATTTGATAAATTTATTTATTAAAATTTTTACCCGTCTTATATAATTATGGTTAATATACTATATCTTTATAATTGAACATATTCTGTATATACTATCATTGTATATTTTTTAAATTGAAATATTTACTATATCAGTAATTTAAATTTGTAGAAGTTTAATATAACTACATTCCTGATATAACTTCGTTCACTTATTTTCCAATTAAATAAAATTTAACTTTTAATCGTTCAAAGTCTAAGAATTTAATTTTTCATAACATTAGAGTTTCATATCTAAAACGTTAATTAGCGTTAGTTTTATAATAATTTATAAATCGTTTACTGATGGATTATTTTTTATGTAAGTGATTTATAAAAGAAGATAAATCAAATTTTGGCAAAAGTAGAGTATAAATTAGATTATAATAGTAATATTATTTTTAATTTAAGATTATTTGGCATAATGATAATTTTTTCATTTTCGATTTTTTTTGAATCCGTTAGATATAAATATACTGAACGAGTTTTCGATTCTGGGTAATTTAGGTCAAATTTATAGCGCTGGCCAGAATTATAAAAAAATTAGATAATACTATGAAATTGGCTTAATTAATATAGTCACATGACCGTTAGAAAATATAAAATGTTCCGGCTATAACAAGTTTTTTGAATTTTGTGTGGAAAATATAGAATCTGAAAATTCAAAAGCCTTTCATTGGTGTCAAAAAGCAGCAGAAATTCAGTTTCGAAGATAAATTACAATGTTAATATAATGTAAGTGCAATTTATAGTTTGTTTAAAATGAAAATAGTGTTGATGTTAATAATTTAAAAGAATTTATTTACTAAAACTCAAAATTCTTTCTTTACTGAATTTTATTACTCTATCACTACCGTTAATCGAATAATATTTTTATACAATTAAAATAACTTGTTCAAATATTTCAAATATTGAAGTTTTAACAGTGTGATAGCAACAAAATTTGATAATATATTTTACCAAAAAAATTGGCTGTAAATCATAATCCTCCTTATTCATTTAATTGATGAATGGAAAATTTCTAATTTGGAAATTGAAACTTTCTCAATATGAAAGAAATGAAAAAAAACCTCTAAATTTTTTTTTAAAAAAAGGCAACGTTTATTATATTTATATTATTCTAAACAACAATATAAATGTAAACTTTGTAATGATACTTTTTGATAAATAGAATACTCTTTCTTTCATCTTATAATAAAACATTTTAAAAAAAATTCCAAATATGTTGTTGGAATGATTGTGATAGGAATCATTTATTCAATTTTATTCAAATAAGTGAAATAACGTAATAAAAAATTTTATTTATCATGATTTTCTTTCTATGAAAAAAGTTGTATATATTCTAATAATAGAACCGAAAATAATTGTGACTTATAATACTTTTAATTGAAAATATTAATACAAGTTATAGTATTTTTCAATATACCTTCAGATTTATCTTCGTTATCTTCGAATGGAAGTTTGAGAGTCATCTGACCATCAAAATAATAAATAAATTGATTTCAAGTCTAACAAACTTTTAACTATTTCGTATGTAAGACTAAAGTTAAAAAAAAATCATAATTTTTTTTTTTTTTT